ACTACTCCTTATGTAAGTTCAAATTTTGGCAGGAGCAGTTTATAAGAAATATACTTGGTCATATTCTGAGCTTGGTTAGACTACAGCACAAACAAAATATATTGGGTAATTAGTATTTTTGCATTTTCTGTCACCAAGATTCACATTAGAACTTGATCCTTCATATACAGGCAGCCTAAAATATTCCTACAGATGCTTTCCAATTCCAAGTTTATTTTTCTTTAGACACCACAGCATGGAGGAAACAACTGAGACCTGCTTCAAGAAATAGATTTTTTTTTTCCTGCAGAGGCCTATGCACAGGTTTTTTAAGAAAATGGGCAAACCACCGACCTAAGCTATTAAATAATTTATAAATATTTTAAAAAATAGTAAAGCACAGTTAGATCCAAGAAATATATTCAAACTTAAATTCCACATAACTATTCCCACTGGAATAATCTACTGTTCTTTTCACAGAAATAAAATCACTGAAGCATATGATGTCCTTCAATGACCAGTTCTAGCCAGATCCCATGTGTGATGGATATTACACCGGTACTGTGTCTCAGTTCCAAGCAGAGCTGCACAGACCTCCAGCAACAAACTGTCCCTTTTCCTTTCCCCCCTTGCACCCCAGGAGACCAGCAGGCAATCAAGACAGCACACTTCTACTCCAGACACAAGTCAGACTGCCAGTCAGACCTCAGAATGGAGTTGCTGCTCAGAAAGAGATTTCCTGAGAGATGCAGCCACTCAACGCCATGACCAAAACCTGCTACTCCCAGTGAAGATCTAGATAAAGATCAAAGCATTAATCATGAGACCTCATCAAAACAAGCCTGTGGCAGCACTGCATTCCAGTGACTTTACTCATGTTGCTCCGATTCCCATATTGCAGTGTTGGCACCCTAACATTAAAGCAACTTATCAGCACTTAGCAGTCTTTCAATAACATATTGCGGCCCATTTTCAAACAGAGTTTACTATAGTTGGAGTGCACTATTGCAGCCCTTTCCCCCCGCCTCCAGGTTTGGGTTTAAAAGGCAAAAAGAGGACACTCTGTGTAGTACATGATCCGGTATCACATGAAGGGTTGCTGTTGGGCAGCTCCCTTAGTTACAGGGGGCTGCACTACCCCGCCATCTGATAAAAGAAACATTTGTATTACTGTTAACAAATATCATCAGTGAAACAGTAAACCGTAAGTAGTCTTAAATAACGGTTGCATGATAAACAGTCTCCTCAGGATGCCAACAAATACATATTGTGTGCATCATCACATGAATCAGAATGAAAAAAAATCCTTGGGAAAAAAAAAAAACCTTGAAAAAGTATCTAAGAAGATGTACTTTATAGCTCAGAAACAAACTTTGATTCTGTTTTTTCAAGTTTTCACATACTTATCTATACTAAGACCTTTGTATATGCCTGCAGACACTGCACTGGAACTTCAAGTGGGTGCAGATGACATTAGCATAGCACAAAAGTGAGATAAAGTGGCCTTTGTGAGGAGGCCGGCCCTCTGTGGAAATCAGAAAGTAGCCATGAGCACACAAGCACGGGACTGACTTCAGGTTTTGTTTTACGGTAACCAGGACTTTCTGTTTGTTTGTCTCCTGTTTACAGCTAGAGCAGGACAAATATAAATCTCTGAATAGAAATTTAAAGATAAATGATTTGTCTGAAAGAGATTCATGCAGCAAGTGTGTTACAGCCAGCCAACAGAGATTAGAAAGGGCATGGGTTTGTCTGGGTCAAGTTTAATTACCATCTAGGGCAGCTGATGGGACTCTTGCATTCAGTTTATGTAACTGACACCCTTACTAGGTCCTCTGCAATCACTGCATGTCAAATTAACATGAGGATAAACTCTTTTTTATTAAATCAATCTATTAGGCTCTTCCATTTCAGTTATGTTAATGTTTGTAAACATCAGTTTCCTTTTCCCACCAAGACACTCTCTTAATGTTAGTGCAAATCCTTCATTGCCACATACCTAAGTGAGAGAGCCAACCCTATTAATTCAGTTCAGCTCTTGTCCTCCTGGGACCACAACATAAAAGCCATGACTCCACTGTGCATCAGGTAATCTAGAACTTGTAATTACTATCACTGCAATTTCAAATACAGCTGTCCTCATGATAAAGGAAATAGATCCGATGCCTGAATTACAAAATGCCTATAAGTTTGTCTACACCATATTCCTAGCCAATGCATCAAATCTGAAATACCATACTTTACTTATTTCTATATAAAGCAAAATTAAAATATGTACAGCCTCCACCATTCCAGCTGTTGGCTTTCATCTACATTTTACATTAAAACAGCCTTAGAAGAATTCACATGGATCATTGTGAAAACCAAATGGCACACAGCCAAACCACAACACAGTGCAAAAGTAGGCCAGTCATCTGCATAGAACCTGCTGTCATTAAAATCAATGACTAAAGCTTTGTGGAATATTTTACTTGATTCTAGTTAGAAATGCAGAACAACACTGCAGTCATTGCACAGCAAGATGCTCTAGGCAAGAACCTGAATTTTTTTTCTTTAAAGACAGAAATGAGCCACTATAACGAATGTTATTTCTAAAAGCCTGATGGTAATCCCTGAATTGATGCATCTTATGCATGCAGTTAAAATACAACATTTTTCAAAAGCAGTATTCAAATTACAAGGAAATTATTTCTGTAATTGTTACTGTGCAGACTGGTTTAAATAAAGAGGCTTTTCTGCTCTTACAGCAATGACAGCCAGTCTGTGGGAATACTAATGTGAAGTTTAATTTCCCTTTTTTATGTACACTACTTGTAATTTTTATATTCTTGATAATTTTCAGCTTGTAAACATATTTTTAAAAATAAGAATGATCAAAAAGAGATTAAGTGTTATCATGCCATTTCCCATTCCCTCATTTCAAGCTTTTCTGCATGAACTGAAAGGTATAATTGTCCTCTGCCTGTAAAGACAGCTGGTATGTACATGCAAATGAGGGTCACCATAATTTCCATAAGAGACAGAACTACTGTTCCATTGGACATTGGTCCCTTCACAACAACAGTCTAAAGTGTTGCTGGGAAAACACAATAAAACAAAAATTATTAATAAGTGAATCAAAACCTTGTGAGGAAATGTGAAAAAGTCTGTTTCCTGGAAAACAGGTCTCTAAAAAGTAATTCCATGTTCTTGAAGTTTGGCATATAAAATTTATTTCCATCATAGCACCACCATAAAGAAGAAAGTCTAATTTCTGATGATGCAATTTAAAGCTTTGCTCTCCAAGTTGTTTATAAGCTGTCAAATGTTGATAGAAAAAAAAGTGTGCTTTTTATATGCTATAAATCTGAAAGTAGTCATCACCTCAAATTGCAAAACTTCAGATAGGGATGTCTGAAATGAAATCTAAGAAAACAGGTGGAAGGGATTTAAAACACAAATAGATTCAGCTGACTTCACAGGGGGCTGGTCTCCTTCAGTGGGCTTTTTTGTGTATAAAAACTTGAATTCTAATTTTCAAGACTGAAATTGGGGACTTCTGTTCAAGACTACTGAGGAATGAAAGTATTCTTGTGATTCGAATCTGGAAAATAATGTTAATGCTTTACCCAAGTATTTCAAACTCCTGGAGCTGGCTGTTGTGCAAAAAATTAATTTCTGTTTCCAGACAGGTTCATTCACCAGTATTACTGTGACACCAAGCAGAGTAGAATGTGCACAAAGAAAGCAACTATGTATGCAAATGATTGCAAGTTACATAATTTTTAAAATCTACAGTATAAAACAAGATAGTCTTTTTATGCAAAACAGTTGTTGATAGCTTAACTATTTTCTTACATGGGATTTTTAAATCATGTCATTGTTCCCTTCATAAACCATACCATTTTGTTTAGTTTTCATAAAAGCACAAAAAAATTCTCACTGCACTTTTTGCAAATAACTTGGCTACATATATGGTTACTGTGCTCATGCATCTAGAACAGACTTCTATTCCAAACAGACCTGATTATAGATTCAGCTGTTCTAATCTTGTAATGGATGCTCGTAGGGCATGTTCGCTGTATTCTCTTAGTTCTACAGTTTTCTTAAGTGAAAAATAAATGGAATATATTGCTGAGTTTCCTCTGTATACATACCTCCCATTGGCAGAGGCCTTCTGTTTGTGAAAACATTAGCTTTATATAGAAACGTCAGATGGGGGGGAAGAGAAAGGGTAAAAAACCCCTCAAAGTACAGGAAAATATAACCATCTATTCACACTATTTAATTTGTAAAATCTGTATTCCTATGCAAGCTGCCTAACAAGCAAGGTAAAAGAATGCTTTCCTGAATGAGTCTCCTTATTTAGCCTGAGCAGCAGCCTGTCACAGCTACCAAATTGTACTGCCCCCAGTTTCCCTTCTCTTCTCCATTTTATGCTGCCTTTTCAAGTCATTAACATTTTTTTCTTCTCTTTCCCCCTTCTGAAGGGAAAATTGGTTCCTTTCTGTAGTGCTGTCCATCTGTGCTTGCCTGGCTTTTTCCTTTTTGCACTAAGCAAATCCTCATCACTGCCTCAGTCTAACACCAGGTGCAGCTCTCAAATATTTACAGTACATCAGAACAGTGCCTAGCACAAGAAAACCCCAAACAGGATCACAGTTACAGAAAGCTTCACATCTGAAAGATCTATTTATGCAGAGAGCTGGTCTGCCTACAACAGTGCAGCTCTTAGCATTTTTCAACAAGAATAATTTAAGGCATCCAGCCTTTTCCTGCAAGATTTAGACAAAGGAGAAAAGCAGAAAGAAAAACTTCAAAGAGTTATGCACTTCCTTTACTGGCAGTACTGCCAGGCTGACACCGAATAGAGAGGCTATGCTCATTAATGAAATGTGACTGTGTTTGCCAGACCAGGCCTTCAATTTTAAAACTGTCAGCACAAGTAAAGACAATAGTACATGCAAAGGACTGAATTCAAGTATTTTATATATATTCTCAAAGACTTTCTGGGAAAAAAAACCTTAATACATGACACTCACCTGAAAAGACATTGGGAAATGTCTCTGTAGAAGCCTGCACCCCTGAGGACTTTCTTGAATGAGTCAAAGGCACTCTTTCCGCTTGCAGTTTCTCTCTAAACCCCTTGTGCTCCAAGTAGCCTGCAGAGCCCACCTTCTGCGTTATCTCACATTTGTGATTAGATACCTCTTCTGTCCAGTCTGCAGAACGACTAAATAAACCTGCCAAACTAGCAGACCTCTGCTTCTTGATTGAGACTTTTTCTTTTTTGTGGAAGGACTCCTGCCTCCTTGTAAAAAGCGGACTCTGGGATGGGGAGGGAGAAGGTGAATGGTTGGGAGAACTCAGTTGCCTAGTTGTGGTTTTGATGTAACAAGGATTAATTAGATAGGGCTTAAAGCATCGGGAACCAAGCATCGGACTGTCTGCTGTCCCCTCAGAGGACAAAATGCCATTCTTCATTTCAGTGGGTAAACCATTATGCAGGTTCTCTTGACTGGCTGACAGAGTGTGTTTCCCTTCCTGAGTCTCAGCAGCATGATCACGGCCTGCATCTGAAATACCATCCTCTGTTACTGAGCCCTGCAAATCAATAGCCTGCACTTCAGCAATTTTAGTCTCAGCATCTGCTACCGAGGTTGGAAAAGGTTGTGTGGAGCTACGTGTCTGAGACCGGTTTTCTACTGCAGTTCTATTTAAATCATCTTCTAGTTCACTAGCTACAGCATCCACTCCAGCAACGAGCTGTTCCTGCTCCTCTATCAATAGCTTACGTTCTTGTGTTTCAAATAAGCCGTTACCAGGAGAGCCTGTGCCATTTACCGCTTCTTTCAGTTCACGTTCAGTTGCACAGGAGATGGGAATGTTTTCTGCAATTTCAGATATTGCTGGGAAAGCCCCGTCAGTGTCTGGGCTCCTCTCTTTGTCAGTGGTAGTTACTGAAAGAAACCGTTCAAAATCTAAGGGGGCTGCTTGTGAATTAGCCATGTGTCGGCCCATTGTTTTGGTGACAAGGTCCTCAGTTCCAATGTTAATTGCCCCCTGCTGCTGCTGCTGCAGTCTAATAGCTTGCTGGATATCAGAAAGCAAATCCTCTTGTTCTGTGGCTGAATGGAAACTGTATATATCCGTATCAGAGCCAGAGCTGGTCCTTTGTCCATCCTGTGTCTCCACAGCAGCTGGGACAGCTTCATTTCTGATTTCAAAATGTTCAACATCTGTGTCTGAGAGACCCCCTTCATCCGCAGAGATGCTTATATCTGGAGTTTTGGTAACAATTGAATGAGTACTGTCCAGCTCTCCAGCCTGCAAGGCCTGGCTTTCCAAAACATCCTCCCGTGAACTACTATTCCCATCTTTAGCCTTGGACAGATTTTTTCTGATCCTCAGATTTGAAAACACTGAGGCCCTCGAGTCTGACTTACCCTTCTTCTTACCGGATTCACTTCCTTTTGCATGCTTCCCCAGTCCCCTTCTGCTTCCCGATACCTTCTTTGTGCCATCTGTATCCTTGGGCCCAGAGGCATCCTCTCCTCCTTCGTGCACATCACCTGTATTTTTCTTTAGCTTCCCATCTTGATTCCCCATGATTTTTCGCAGCGCAACACCTTCAACAATCAAGCCATGCTCCCGTATTTCATTCCTTTGGCCTGCCGGCGAGATCCCCTCTAGCGATCCAGGTTTGTTTTCAAGCGGTGGTGATGCAAGTGAAGCAAATGCTTGCTGTGCCTCTCTCCCATCTGCTAGAGCTGCCTTTTTGCATAATGTGCTGCTTGCACTGGGCTCCGCTGGGACATGCTCAGTACAGCACTGAGAGCTGCAGACAGCTCCTTCCAATGGCTGCTGCTCGCTGAGCCGCCTGCTCTCCGGGCTTCTGCTGCACTCTTGTTTCTTTAAGAAGGATTCTGTGAAAAGTATTTCCTTTATAAAAGTCACTTCTTTTTCCACGGTTTTTATTGCCTGCATTGCAAGCTTGGCTCGTCACCAAATCATTTATAATTGCAGGACTTCGATGGTCAAGTTCCTGCAGGGGGGGGAGTTAAAGGAAGGTACTTTAATTACTCTGCAATTGTTCTCCAACTGTTTAAATGAATAAACTAATAACCTTGGAAAGAGAAATATTATGATTATTTAATAGTTTATAAGGTGCTTAAGCATATGCTACTTTGACAGATCACACAGTACCTCTGGTGATTTACATGTTTACTTTTTAAAGGTCACCAAAACACAATACATAATTTTAAAAGGATAGTCACTCTGAAAGTAGATAGAAGAAAGATAATAAACAAAAAGTTCTTTCCACAGTTTTAAAGAGTTGCACTTAAAATTCAATGCATTATGGTAATCACACTACAAAAAACCTCCCACAATTTGTATTCTGAGAAGGTAGCTATACTATTATTCCCAGGAGAATCAACTCATCAATATTAAAACACACCACCATTGTCTTCCCTGATAAGAACATCTGGCATGAAACAAGATAAAACAAACAAGAAAACAGCAGTATTCAAATGCTACTAAGGAAAAGGATACAATAAAGCATTCCTCTATTCCACCCTATATATTTAATAATTGATTTAGGCACTGTCACTTACTAACTATTTTGGAAACTTGTGCAACAGTTTTTACCAGTTGCTGCTTCTCGTCCATTTTTGGTTTAGATGTATAAGTATCAATACTTCATAAATATTTTTCCTGAACTTCCAGACAGGTACTCTCACTTTTAAAATTTAGATTTAAAATACTGGAATAAAAACACAAGGGCATAATAATGCCAAATTGCCAAGTTGGATCAGTTCAGCAGTTCAATATCTTGGTTCAACACTAGCCAAGAAGCAATTAGATAGATTTCTGTTTATGATTTATCATCTCTAAACTGCATGGTCTATTAGGTTCATTTTCTGTGAAAGACTTTATGCATTCCTCACACCTCTGAGCTTGTTTACTAGCAATTTCCCTTTCATCATAGGTTCCTTAAAATAATACATCATTCCAGGGAAATGCATCCTATTGGTTTACCTAACTCTTGCATTTGGTATCATTTTCTCCCTACCAGAGGTTTCACTTGCTTTCCTCTGCCTTAATACACATTAAAGAAGAAGAAAAAGAGTATCATTCACACTTTAAAAACTATGCAGGCACACCCTCACACACACACTTTTTTTCAAAGGATGCTAAATACCTTTACAAATCTGGGCTGTGGCCATTGTTAAAGTGCTGTTAATTCAGTTCGGAAAGAATAGCACCGTCAATAATACTTGCAAGTAAATAATTTTGAACCTATTATAATTTTTTCCATGTGCTTCTTGGTCACTTACGGCTCTGATGTAAGTCTTGTCCCAAGGGGCCTGTGGCTCAGGCACCAGAAGCCTTCTGTCTACAAGAACTCAAGTGTTTTAAGTGGATCAGATGACTGTACACTCAGTGGTTTGGCTTATTTTTTTTTAGTTTTCACTTATCTAATGAAGTGATTCATCTACTTTTTTTTTTTTCATTTTCAGCACTCAGCATTCATAAATATACTAGCAAGAGCTAGTATAGCAAAACCTGCAAGAACATGTTAAGTGATTTTGCTTTTTGACTACATTTCTGCTTTTGCCTTTTGTTATCCTACTTAGTTTCTAATTTGTTGCAGTATTTTATCTTTCACGGCATTATTACATACTTGCAAAAGGCATTTGAAAACTCAGGTAATTTCACTCCATCTGAAGGTACACAGTAAGAATTACTTAAGGCACAGTTTGAGGGAACTATAGTAGTAGAATACTACTTTGATGGGTATTTTCACTGACTAGAACTGACAAGGATCTAACCCTTGATTACAACTGGAGTACTTGTAGCTTCCCACCCCATTTAAAAACTGCCAGAAATTAACATAGTGCAGAAGTAATATAAATATACTGTAGACTGAATGTATAAGGGAAATGTAGAATTAGTGTGATGTTCCAAAACATTCCCTCTCCTTCCTTCTCTGTAAACTTGCATTACAAACTCAACAGGCTCCCATTACAACTAATGATAATTCATCAGCAGTAATTACACTGTAAATCATGCTGCAAAACCAAGCCATCATCAAAGCTGGGGCTATAAGACAGTCAAGTTAAAGACTGATCTTCATTTTTTAATTAGAAACTAGAGATTTATAATGTTTTAAATCATTAGTATCTGCACTATTTCCTAGAAGTTTTCATATAGCATATCCTGATGAGTAAGTTCCTCAAAAAACCACATAGATGTATAGCCTGAGTTTATATATATTACACTAAAAATTATTCAGACTTTTTCAATTTGCAGCTGTAATCCTAACAGCAAAAGAAATATAAGAAAAAAAGCCAAACCAGTTTCTAGGTAGTCCATCTAAATATGGTATCCTAACCATCATGGATTCTGACCAGGATTTCTGATCTATACAGGGAAAGAGCATCACCAAAATGGGCATACTTACGTGAAGAGTGGTGTGCATGTGAACATCAAAGAATTTGCTCTGGTTATTCCACATAAGGCCCAGAAAACACATTTTAAAAAGAAAAAAAAAAAAAAAAGGAGCATGGGGGACAGAATACAAATTACCCCAAAGTGGCAGTGATAGATGCAACTCTCAATCAGCATTTTCAGGAAAGTACAAAAGGTTAACATTAGCCAAACATAAAAACAGATGTTAATACTTTGGGGTTTGTTTATTTTCAGGATTCTTTTAACTTCTGAAGAAAAACATATTATTAAAAGTCAGCAATAAACCAGAACAATTTTGCATCAGTATCAGCTATGTTTTAAAAGCTAAGAATGTATTCAATAGTCTACACCAAAAAAGAGACTTTCAACAGAAAGTAAATGGGGAAAAGAGGGGGTTTAAGTGTTCAAGAAGGATACTTCATTTTTAAGAGTCACTATAGCTCATTCTCAGTTTGCTATAAATTGTCAACTAACAACTAAGGCTAGTTCATGAACTTGCCTACCTACCTCATATAATATTTGCCAGTGGTCAGTGAAAAATACCAAGGGGTGAGATCGCAGACATAGGCCCGAGATTCCCCTCACCTCTCATTCACCTCCGAAGCTCAGGGTACGCAAATGGCAACACACAGAGAAGAGCCAAAACTTAACCGCTCAACATGCACTGTCCTTGCGCTCCTGGAGACTTCCACGTTAACACGTTCCTGTTAGAAAAGCAAGCCCCTGTTATGATATTGTGTTTGTTTTCAAGCAGACGGTTACCATTTACTGCAGCCTCTCTGGAAAGGTGGCCAGATCCCCCCAGCACTGCCTGCCTGCCCATCTGCCCTGCTGGGAGGGGAAGGGCTGCCGCCAGCACCGATTGACCACACCTGGGTGCAGGCCTCAGCCCCCCTGGAGCACAGCCAAGGCAGAGTAGTGCCCCCAGGCAGGGCTGGGACTCTGGTGGGAGCATTTCCCCCCAAATTCCTCACAAAAAGGCTGGGCCACCAGTTGTCCTGCTGGTATTTTGGGCCTGTCACAAGCATGGGCTGCCTGGGGGAGCCTGCCCTCAGGAGACACAGTTTTCTTGCAGTGGACAAGTTTTCACCATGATTTATTTACTGTGATAGTTCATTCTTCTCTCAATAGTAGTCGTTGAGCAAGTCCCTGAAGAGTGACGTTAATAACGCCCCATTACTGCTGCTGACAGGCACAGCACTGCCGCAGGCCATGTCTGCCAGGGGCCAAGCCTTTGGGGCAGGGTTAGGCTTCACCAGTACCAGCCCAGGGAAGGGTTTAAACCACAGGAGTGCTGGGAACACACAAAATGCCCCAAACAGCACCCCGGCAGTAACGCTGTGGCTACCAGCACGGAAGCACCATCATCACTGCGCAGTAAAGATGCGGGTGGAGCTAAGAAAATGTACCCCCAGAATGAGCCACACCATGTGCCCTGTGTGCATCCCCATGCTGCCCTGCACGGTGACTGAGGGGCAGGCTCTGTACTGCACTCACAGCCAGCTCTTCCAGGAACCCAAAGCAGTTAGCCAAGCTACATATATGCATATATATGGGCTTTGTGCTCCCCTTCCCTGCTGGGGAGACTCAGTAGTTGGGGTGGGGGGGGAGGCCGCTGTGGCCCAGGGCAGGTGCTGTCCTGGGGGAAAGCCACAACATGGCGGCCCAGGGTGGAGGCCTGCTGGAGGAGGCTGAACCTCATTCTCCAAGGCTGCAGGCAAGGTCTGGGCTGCCACTGGCGCTTTGTGCCTCGCCTCCACACAAAGGAGGGCTGAGGGTGAGGTGGCAGCAGTGCGAGAGCCACAGTGCCATGGCAGTGCTCTGGGAGCTGGGCTCTGCTCCCCCCAACATTGTGGCTCCTCCAGCCTCCCTTCAGCCCACTCCCTGAGGGGACAGGGCTACTGCTTGGAGAGGGAGAGTAGGGACAGCCCAGGGGATCCTCACCTCTGCCGTACACACCCTGCAGAGGCTTGTTTTTTAATTCGTGGCTCAATGTGCACAGGTTTGAGTTGGAGATAAAGGCACATAGATTAACAGGACTGTTTTAAAGTACTCTGGTGTCACATTACTGATTGGGATATGGCAATGCAGACAGTATGAAGAAAGGTTTATGTAAGCAGACCAGCCACCTATATGTCACTAAAGCTTGAATTTTCATAAGCAAGCAGAGGGCTCGTTCTCCTTCAGTCCAGTGCTGGAGCCAGGTCCCTGTTCCTGCTGTCCTCTGGCAGCAGGAAGCCTCCCTCAGCTGCCGCTCTGAGCATGCTGGAAAACTGATCTCCCCAGAAGGCACCAGCTACCATTAAATACTGCCTTGTACCACCAAAGCCATGCTTTGAGCAGTTGAAAATAGTTTCCTGCCCCCACACCCCCCATCTCTTCCAGCTATAGGGACAATTGGCTTTTATGACTCTTGACAAGCTCTAGCAGACTCCCTTCCCCTCTCTGACTGGCAAGGGCCAAGTCAGGAGAACAGAAAATATAATGTGGATTAAGAGACCATAGTGGCTAGGGATGAAGTTGGTTGTGTCCTTGCCTCATTTAGTTTCTAGTGGATATGAGATT